GCTATTATGCGATCAAACAATTCCCCCCCCCTCCCATCCGACCACAAAAGTTACAATCCTAATAATTTGGCTAATCTCCAGGTTTTTATTCTGTAGCCTTCTCTTGTTTGTGCCCAATATGCATGTCAAGCTACTAGACGGCTTCCCTAAGTTGCATGCGAATACACAGCCGACGCCGCGACTTTGAAGGCCCCCTAGTGGCCCCTCTAAGAGTCCGAAGCCGTCGGCCCGATAGTTGGTTTGCTTTGTCAAAAGTTCATATTAATGGTCTCGGCAAAGCAGGAAACATAAAAGCTTCGTCCACCGGCATTGCCTTGCCCTTCTGTGCTGCCGTAGTGCTCGTGCACTACATTGCAGACTTACCCTGTACAGCCCGGAGGCGATAGCCATGAAGTCTGTCCTTTACTGATCCACTCGAAGAATGCTGTCTTGGTAGCTTCAGAAGTCTTTGCTCTAGGCTCCTGCGGCGGCGGCTTCAGCAGGTGCCGTTGCTGCTGCCAACGGCAGGGCAGCGGAGGGTCGTTAAGAATCCTTGCTCACAGGAGGAACCAAGGGGCTTCTCTAGGTGCAACGTCTGCTTCCCTTGCTGTTCCACCTTTGCCTTGGAAGCTATTTTGAAGGTTTCTGGAGAAGCCACCTGCCTGCTTTTCCCTGCTGGCTGCTGTGATAGGCGAGGCCAGTGGCCTTGGCCGACATGCGCTTTGCCTCAGCCGGAGACTGCATCTTAATCTGGGGTGGCCAAGTATATCTGCAGGATTTCTGCTTTGTAGCAGCTGCCCACATAACAACAGCAGCCGCCCACCTAGCTGGCACACTCATGAGGCCAGGAGGCAGCTTACAGCGCGCGCAGCGTGTTGACGATGCATTTGCCGGGAGCTTCATTGCCTGTCGGCCCCGTATCCCCAAGTATTGGATCGAGTGGAGGATCGGATCCCCATAAGGGCGCCCCTAGTGGGGGCGGCGGGGGGCCTCTTGCGCGGCATGTGAAGCGGAAGCTGGCAGGGTTGCTGGACGGCTGGCGCCGCGTTAAGAGTTTTCGGCTTTTCCTCGAGCCTGTCGATGTAGAACAGATGGAATGCCCCACCTACTACGATGTGATCAAAAACCCTATGGACCTGCGCACCATGGAGGTACCCAAAGTTGCCCCGAAACCCAATAGCCCTTCTTCACATCCAGACAAACACATATACACATAGCTAAGGGATAAGATGCAAGCAGGGGCTTAGGGTCTACTGTGCAGCGCAAAGGGTGTTCTAGAGTGGCTTGGGTATGCAGGCCAAGCTGGAGAGGGACGAATACAGGAGCGAGGAGGCATTCGTCTGTGACTTGCTGCTCATCTTCCGCAACTGCCGCACGTCGGTCGCTGCAACAATGCACTTAACAGCAGCAGGATAAGCTGATGTCGTTGCAGACACTTGCCCTTAGTCGCAGTTGCAGTGGGAATAGATAGCATGAAACGACAAGCCGCACGACCAGCGTAGCCTTTAGGGGTTGTAGCATTCGTGACGCGGGCGGATCTTTAGCCGAAGCCTAATATTAGCTGTAGTCGCTGCTGTTGCAGTGAGAATCCGTTCCAGGCAGAGACGGGCAACAGCAGCAAGAGGAGTAGCAGCAGCATTCATGAGGGCTTGGGATGTTTTCGTTCCTTACATTGTGTCAGGGTTTGGGTATGAGAGATTCCGGTTTAATGTTTAGGGTTTATGGTACGCGAGTGTGCAGATTCAACGACGAGGCTACACCCGCAGGACAGTTTGTGTTGCGGCTTTGTGCGGAGGCGGAAGCACGCAGCCTTGAGGATCTCAAGAAGGCATGCAAAGACTCGAAGGTAGCTCCGTTGCTGGGGCTGCTGTTGTTGCTGCCCGTGGGGCTACTGTTGCTGTTGTTGCCGGCGTTGGTGTTGTTGATGTTGTTGGTGGAGGGTGGTCTCTCCTCCATATCCTGGTACAGCGGCGATGGTCTTAGGAACGGCTCAGGAGAGTTCCGATGAGGCAGACGTGCTGTGGTTGCTGCTGCCTTGGGGTTTCTTCACAGGCCTGGGCTGCACTTGAGCAGCAATTCTCGCATGGAAAACAGAAGGCAGGGGCGCGGCAGAAGGGCGGAGGTGCCTCGAAGCGGGCTGCGTCTGGAGGTGCATCCGCTTCTGAGAATACGGTGTCAGCAGCTGCTGCAGGCCCCGCAGCAGCAGCCCCTTCCGCTGTGGGCCGTTCAGCAGCAGCTGATCACAATACGCCCCCCCAAAGCTATGATAGTGCAGGCAGAAATGCTCTGGGGGCCTCTCCTGGGTTGCCTTGTGTGAACGGGCTCGTATATAGCGGCTCGAGTGGAGTAAGAGAGGAAGTAGCAACAGCTCTACCAGCAAGAGAAGCCGCCGTCTCAGAAAGGGTTGAAGGGGTTGTAGCTACCAGCGAAAATGCCTCTGAATCGACGTTGCAGCAGACATCCACCTCAGGACTCGCTGGTGTTTCCCCTCCCAGTATCCCTCTCACCCCTGGAGCATCTGGCAGTCAGAGGGCCCCGTCGCAGGCGAACTGGCAGGGAGAAGGGGGCAGTTTTTTGGGGCAGGGTAAGTATGGCCTCCGTTAGAGCGATGGCACACAAAGGCCCCATGATTTTGGAGTTGACGAGGGCAGTCGTTCAGTGGGGCAGATGTGGCGTTCACCAGTGCCTAGGTTTTCTAGAGGCGAAGTTTATGAGGGCATATGCCTCCCGTGCTCAGGTTATCTTGTATGCAAACTAGTGGGAGTATACAATTGCTGGGGTACGAGCTTTCAGGGGTTTGAGTTTGCCGTCTATTTTGGGGTTTAGATTAGGTTGCTTTATCATTTTTAAGGTTGCAGCTTGCTACAGCTTGGGTGCAGTGAGGTTTATGCTTGCACGGGTTTAGGCCTGCTAGGGGTTCGACCTGCTATGGCATGGCCGATGTCGTAAGCGTTCCGTGCACTGTGATTGCCACTGCACCGCTACAACAGCTGCTGTTGTTTCTGCTGTTGGTGTTGAGTGGGTGCTGCAGGCATGCTGGATATTGAGAACTGCCTGGCGGGGAAGAGTTGGTACATTTATTGCCGAGACAACGTACGTCTCGCAGTACTGCTGCAGCGTCTGCCCGTCCTGCTTTTCCCAACCTGCTGCTGCCAATTACTGCTAATTTGCTATTACTAGTCTGTTGCTGTCCCCTGGACGAGGAGTTGCTTCTGAAGAGGAGCAGCGAGTGGTGTCTGGTGTCTGGTCCACGGCAGTTACTCCTGGCGCTTCGGGGGATTTTATGTTTCACGCCTGCATTTGGTCAGGGGCTGAAGAATGATTACTGTTTGTATGCTACACTGGTCTCTGTTATTCTTCCATTGACCTGTCTGCTGCCAACGCATATTTTGTTTCGATGTCGCTCCATGCCGGTTCTCGGCCGTTGTTGTATATCGCGCCCCTTGAGTGGGGCTCCCGGTGACTTCGGCGCCTCCTCGCCGGATCCGCTGCAGCTGTGAGTGCTTGTCATTTTCGTTTCTTTTTTACGCTGCTGCTTCTGCGGAATCTATGCAGATCCTCAGACCCCTGAAGGGGGATCGCTACGCCTACCTTTTTCTCACGCCAGTCTTGGACAGCCCAGAGCTGCCGGATGCCGTGAAGACTTCTTACAAGTCGGTGATTGCAAGACCCATGGATTACGGCACCATCTGGGTATGTTACGCTTGTGACAACGGCTGCAGCATCTATGTTCTTAATCTTTGCTGAGGCAGTCTGGCTGGAAACGTGCCCTTATGCTTGTGTTTGCACACGTTTCGCAGACTAAGCTTACTGCCAGGGATTACCACCACCCTTTGGAGTTCTTCGAGGACATGTTTCTGGTGAGCTGCAGCAGCTGCTCTAGTGGAACGTGTGCTGAGAAAAAACAGAGCAAGGTATAAGCCGCTGTTGCAACAGCGGGATGTCCATGTAGCTCCTGGCGTTGCCGCTGTTGTTCATCCTGTTTCAGGTGTATTCAAACTGCATGGCTTTTAATCCCCCCAACGACCAGCAGTGCGGCTGGTTGCATCGCGTGGCAGAGAAGAGCCGAGACAAGTTCGTAGAAAGGTAAGGCACGGACGTTTGGCCGTCATTCCCAATTATGTCCACCTGTTGACACTGCACTACAGGAACACTGAGGCTGCATACGCTTCTGCAGGTGGCGTCGCTGGGTAGTGCGCATCTGGCGCGCTTTTGCGCAGCATAACGCAGCAGCAGCGGCAGCGCCGCCTCCCGTGCTGGAGAATGCTGAAGCAGCCAACGCTGCAGCAGCAGTAGAGTCAGAACCCGCTGTTGCTGCAGGACTGGCTGCCGCTCGCGCCGAGCTTCTGGAGCGGCGGCATTCCCATCCAGTGTTGCCTTTCGCGGCGCCACCTCAGCAACTGCAGCAGCAAACAGACATCTGTCATGCCCCACTGCAGCACCCCCAGTTGCAGCACCCGCCAGCGCAGCACAACCAACGTTGCCCCGATAAGGCTCAGGACCCCTCGGCGGTGGCAGCAAGCGCAGCTGCTGCCGCCAAGGATCCCAAGTACAGGTGTGTGCATTTGCATGGGGCGCTAGAGATTGTCTGCTATTGAAGGTCGGTACGTGGTGCTGCACATATTGTTGGGTTGGTGTCTTTGACGTTTGTAATGCTGCAGGGCCCTAGTCGTTGACCTGCTTGGCGAGGACGCACTGGAAGATGCAAGCAACAGCTCCTTAGATAGGGCGGCCACGACGCAGGAAACATTGCAGCAGCAGCTTCAACAGCTGCAGCAGCAGCAACAACTGCTCCAGCATGAACATTTGCAGCTGCAGCAACAGCAGCTGGAGATGCAGGAGAAAGAGCAGGCACTGGCTCGTGTATCGGCAGCAGGCGAAGGCCCTGTTCACTGCGAGAGCCCTGCCAACTTAGGGGTTCCTGGATCAAGTGATCTTCAGCAGCATCAGCAACAGCAGGAGCAGCTGCTGCAAGCCATCGATCCAGTTGCTGAGCACACTGACGCTGCTGCTTCTACGGGGTTGGTTGCTGGAGCTACCGCTGGCAACGACACTGCAGTCGAGCAACAGCAGCATGGAGATGCAGCGGCTGCAGCTGGGGATGTCACTGGAGCAGCGGAGGGCAGAAAACACAAGAACAAAAAGCAAAAGCACCAAAAACATATGCAGCGAACCCAGCAGCAGCTGCAGAAACAGGAGGCACAGAATGTGCAGCTGCCGCAGGAGGCGTCTGCAGGCGTCCAGTTACCCAGCAGTGGTCTGTTAGAGACTCAAGACCAGGCCGACTCTGGTGCTGTTCCGGGATACCATGCTGCAGCAGGAGTAGAAGAAGCGACACCATCACCAGCAGCGCCTGCAGCCTTTGCAGCAGCTCCACCAGGGTGCCCACAGGTGGATTATCCAGCCGGTCTTCGCGGGGCTGTTGTGGTGCCTGCTGCCGTAACCGATGCACCCCCTTTTCCTGTTTCTGTCTCACCTCAACAAGCAGCGGCAGTAGCAGCGACTCTAGCAGCAGACGCAGCGGGGAGCTCCCTCTTACCCAACACTTCCCTAGGAGATTCCCCTCGGCTCTGTGACATAATTGAGGCTCCCCCAGCCGAGATTCTGAAAGCCATGGGGGTCAAGGAAGTACCTGCCCGTCCCATTGCTACTCCGGTTCCTGCGGCTGCTTCCGCTGTGCCTGTTGCTGCGCCGGTGTCTGCTACTGATGCAACTCTAATCAGTTTGCCGCCAGCGGCCGGCACCACTGCTGAGGCATCTGCAACGTGGCTGGCAGGGCCAACCCCGTCGCAGCTGTCTGCTGGCCCAGCTGCTGCTGCTGCTGTAGCAGCACCACCAGCAGCAGCCACAGCCACAGGAGGTGTGAGAGGCCGTGCTTGTGTGGAAGGCTCATCGTTACCACCACCTGGCGATGAGGTGATCGCTGGAACCCTACAAACGCAACATTCTACAGCCTTCTACGACATCCAGCAGCAGCATCAGCTTCTACACCTGCAAACGCAGCAGTCAAGAGAGGACTTGCTTCCACCGAAGCTTCGTATATTATTGGAATCGACGCGGAAGAAGGGACCACCTCCTAGGCTCCTGTTGCTGCCTTGGAGGGGCAGAGGCAACGGCCCTATCCCCGAAGGCTATGCCGTAAGCGTTCCCGTAACCACTGCAGCAGCGGCAGCCGCATCAACAATATCAGCACTTACGTGCCACTCTTGCAGTGTCCCTTCCCAGTAGCGCATTTTTGTTTGTTCGCAGAGCCGTCTTCCGAGTACATCCTGTGGTCCCAAAGCTGCAGTTGGTGTTTGTGCTGCTGCTGGCACCACTGAAGCCACAGCAGCAGAACCGACAGGATCCGCCAGTGCATCTGATCGCAGCGTGAAGAGAGAAACGACACAAGGAGACTCTGTGGCAGCTTCTGCCGAGATTGAGAGAGCAACAGAAGAAGCGCCACCTCCAGAGGCAGCAGTGTCTGATGTTGCCGAGAAGACCAGCAGCAGCAGAGAGCAGAGATCCAAGCTGTCTTTGAGGCTGCGGAGTAGCTGTACTAGCAGGCGTTCAACACCATTATCGAACAAGGCCGTGCCTCGCAATGTATTTTTTGTTGGAGATGAGGATCCAGAGACAGAGGGGACTCTGGGGGCAATGTGCGTGGATAATGAAGGGGAGATTGCAGCAACAACAGCAGAAGCAAAACCCCCATTGCCTGCAACACCTGTTACAGCGCGGGACGCAACGCAGACGAAAATGACTCTTGCAGCAGAAGCAGCACAGGCGGCAGCAGTTCAAAGCACCAGCACCGCGCATCTGCTGAGGCTGCCATCCCGTGTCAGTCTGCTGCCGGAGGATGTAGATATACTCAAGGTTCACGCCGGGTAGGACTTTGCTGTTAGGCTGCCGCTGTTGGTGCTAGGCTGCTTCTGGCGCTGCCAGTGTGCTTTTGTTCGTGCTGTTACTGCAGCGTGGATCAACGTTTTTATTAGCTGCCGATAAAATAAGTAAATATAATAGGCGTATTATCCAGCCGCACCGTCCAGTTACAGCAGCATTTGCACCAGCTGTGAGCGAAACCCCATATTTCTTGTTACAAAACAGGTTTTTCACTTTTTTCTGTTTCTGCAGATTGCAGCAGTGCGGCTTCGTCTCCCATGCACTGTCTCGCTGTTGCAGCACTCGGCGCACCTGCAGTAGCATCCGCGGCAGCAACATCAACAACAATTGCAGCAGCCGCAGCAGCAGCGGTTGCGCCGATTGCGAGGTGTGGCTGCATCGGCAAACTGCCCGCATTCAGCCAGTAGGGCCTCTGACGACGATTTTAGGAGACACAGCAGACTGCAGCTGCCCGGTCTCCGTCTCGGTGCTGCGTTGTGTCAGGCTCGGTACCACTGCTGCCAATGCTGCTGGTGCGGCGCCGCTGCTGCTGCACTTGAAGCTTCAGGGAGCTGATGCGGCAGCTGCGGCACTGGCACTCAAGGGAGAGTACCTGGTTTCTTCATACTTACAGCTAGCAGCAGCAGCTACTGCAGAAGGAGGGGATGAAAACGCCCTTACCTTAGGCGGTCTGAGTCATCGTCCTGCTGCCGCTACTGCGCCTGGCGCTGCATCTGCTAGTGGTTCTGCGGGCGTTGCTGTGGCCAAGCGCAGCTGCTGGTGTTACGCACGACCGCAGAAGGGGCAGGAGAACCGAGGTTCTTTGTTGGCTGGGCGGTCTGTCTTCAGTGTCGAGCGTCAAGCAATTAGGTGAGCCATAGAGTTGTTGGCTTCAGGGGAGGTGTTCGTACACCCCGGGGGCAGCCGGCCCTGCTCATTTGACTTTGTTGCAAGGGCTCGTACACCGTTAGGGGACACCCCTCTTCGTGGATCGGCCCGGTGCATCCTTACATCCGTCGTCACGCGACCGCCGCTCCTGTTGCTTGTGTTGGTGTTGATGTGTGTCTATTGCAGGAACCTTCCGAGGCGTCTCCTGGAAGAGGCGCAGCAGAAGAAGCAACGGCGAGGGGGGATAGCGGACGGCTGTTTGCTTGGTGAACTGTGGGGCTCAGCCACACAGAAGCCGTTTGGAGAGGCGTTTGGCGGAGGGTTGCTGCAGGTGGTGTTGCGTGCTGCTGCATCCGGGGGTTCAGGAGATGCACTTGGCAGCAGCTGTGGCAGCGGCTGCAATCGCCTTGCCTGCACGAACGAAGAGTGTTTGTCTGACGGGCTCCGTTTCATTGAGGTAGGTTGATGGCGGGAACGATCGGAACGATCAGCAGCGACCGCAGCTGCTGCTGTAGAAAACCGCTGTGGCTGCTGCTGGTGGTGCAATTCCCCGGCGTAAGGATTGTTACATATGCATATGCATTTTTCGTTGCATCTCCGCTGTTTGGTGGCACTTTGCTGTAGGATTTGAACATGTGGGCTGCTGCGCTGCCGTCGGAGCTGTTGCTGCCAGTGCAGCAACAGAAGCAACAGCGACATCGCATACTGCGGCTTCCAGCATTGGATGTTGTGTTGCTGCACTCGGAACCCTTAGGCCTGGTGACCCTTTCAAAGCCTCATGCTTGTAGCAGCAGCGCGCCCCCTAGTGCGGGTGAGAGTGCGGCTGCTGTATACCGTGCCGCTGATGGACTCCGCAGCAGTAAGGTAGAGCTCCCGTTGCAGTTGAAAACCGAGGTGCCCTCACAGACGGCGAACCGCAAGAAGAGGGCTTCGGGCGACTTTGACTGTGGGGAGACGGACACAAGTAGCAGCGGGTGCTGTTGCTGCTGTTGCTTTCTAGCTAATGCTGTAGTTCAACCCGCTGTTGAGCCTCTGCAGGCGGCACTCTGCTTGGGGTGAGGTCGGAAGCCTCCCACTGATTTCGGCGGACTTCCAGCTGCAGTACATGGCCACTCCAGCTGCAGTGAACTGCTATTGTGTGTTTATTGTTTTGTTAGAAGCCTTCCAATGAGGTAGGATAGGTTCTGGGCTCCCTAACGCAAGCAGCCTACGCACACTCGAAGCCCTGCAGCTCGTTCGCACCAGGGTCGGTAACGGAACCAACCCCGCATTGGTTGATGAAGCAGGACAGTTTTGCCTTGGGCCAAGGGTTTGCTAAATTGAGTTCCAGAATGAATGCTAAGTTCTGCCTCTCGGGGCGGAGACATTGTCGGCAGAAGTATGCCCAGAAGCACAGAGACTGCTGTGTTCGCCTTATTCTGCGTACACGCGTCCACACCAAAGGTGCGGGACTGCTAGGCACAGTCCGCAGTGCCACCACCAACAGCCCCCCTTTGCATTTTCATTTACTACAAGGGCATGACCCTGCCTGCAGTTTGCAGTAAAGGCTACCGCAGTCAAATCCCCTGCAAGCGGAGCAATGCGCTCTCTGCAGTCTCCCAACGGTGCGCATGCAACCGAACCCTAGATGTTCTGCTTGGTAAGCAGCAAGGAAGCACAGTAACGGAGGAACTGTTGATGAAGCTGCAGACATCTCGACCTACTTCGCAGCTGCACTAAGCAGTCACTCCCCTGAATTGTGAGTGCTGGGGCAGAAGTTTGTGTACTTGCAAGCACGGGCGTACGGACGTGTGCATAGCGTCCAGAGCATCGTAAAGTCTAGCCACAAGCACACCCTCATGCTCTTCGACGTGTGTGACTGCATGCATAACATCTAGACATAGCGCCATCTCTATGGGACACTATCAATGAAGCAAAATGCAAGACTTTTGGTCGCTGAATTGCTGCTGCTTGAGGCCAGCAGCAACGGCATGTCACTGCGCCAAGCACGTTTTCTGCTGCTGATACGAATGATAGTGTTGCTGTGATAGTTGCCACAGCAGCTACCGCTACTCGCTGCTTCCGGCGAGCCGCTGACTTTATCGTTGGGTTTCGGGGGAGAGGGACGTTAGGAAGACCCAGAATGTTCTAGCAGTTACCCCAGTTCTGTTAATTGCTACAAAAGGTGGAATGGCACTCAATAAGTTCAGTGGAAGACGAACTTGGGTTGTTGTGAAGCAGTGCTCGTTGCTTGGGGCCCCCCAGCGGCCGCCGCCTGCTGCTTTCCGGCGACGGCAGCGGGTTTCAGCTCGTCGCTTGGATATGTCTTTGGTATACTTCATTTTTTGACAAGCCCCTGAGAAAAGGGTTTCGTTGGGCTCCGCTGCTTGATCAAGAGACAGTGTGTAATACTCGCCGCTGCTGCGCTGCAGCTTCTAGACCCCTCCTGAGCGCAGCGCTACCGCTGCGCTTAACAGATTTACAGCTACAGCAGCACCCGTAATTCGCTGTAACTACGTTTCTGCTTGAACTGTCTCTATTCGATTGAGAGGAGCCCATTAAAACTGGTGGTGCGGCGGCGCTGCTGCAGGGAAGTCGGAAGAGCTGCTGCTTAGGGAAGGGTGGATCGCCACTGAGATGTCTACATTTTTGCCAGGGTCAACTGGGAATATTAAATGCCAGCTGATACTCCGCAGAGCAGAAGCAGTAGCGTCACCGACAACGCCTACGCACACTTGGAAGCACAGCATTGCAGTAGCAAGGAAGCCAGACATCAGCGCTGCCTCCGTGAGGAGGGCCATATAGTTGTTGCTATTTACACTACAGCCGCAATTGCACCTGCGACCATCGCGTCACCAGAGGAGATATACTATGGAGCGGAGGGATAAGCAGAGACAGCAGCAGCCAGAGCCGCCTCAGGAAAGGCCGCTGCAGCACGTTTCATCTGCTGGAGAACTTGCTTGTGGCCGTTCACCTGGCGAGCGTCATGGTCCCGCGTCAGAGGCTTCTCCTTCGGCAGTATCACCAACAGAAACCGGAGAAGAAGCAGCAATGCCAGAGAAATGCAACAGAGAGATACTGCTACGCGACCGGCGTCAGCAGCAGGCGTTGTTGACGCCTCTTTCCGGTGACCCTAAGTGTCCTCTGCTTCGAGATCTGCAGCAACAGGAGCTGGTGCGACAGCACACCTTTGATGACACCATCAGACCCAAGCAACTCTCCTCAGGGGCCCTTTCCCTCTTCTCGCGCGCGGCCTCAGATGCCCAACACCCGACTGCACACGCATCTGGGAGGTGGAGACAGGTTAGACAACCCGAGGATTGCCGCTGCTGAAGCGGCTACTGCAGGTTCTGCTCCTAGGCCTGCAGCCGAACCTGGAGATGATTGATGCGGGGAATGGCGTCAGTGGCCCTGCTGGTGGTATTGCTGTAGTTCCTGCTGTTTCCTTCAGCTGTTGCTGCCCTTGCCGGTGCTGCAGTTGCTGCTGCTGTTTTGCTTCACTTGCTGCTGTTGCAACACCTGTTGTCAGCAGTTTTGGCCGTAGCTCCTGTCCGCTGCCCCTCAGCCCCAGCGTACCTGGCAACTGCAACAATAGCTGAAGCAGCAACAGCAGAACAAGCAGCAATGAGGGTCTGTGTAGAACGCTTTTGGCGTCGCCCAGTTGTATGTATTCTCAGGTATCTCTCTCCAAGGCGGAAGAGGAGCTGCTTGCTGCGGGCCTCACCACAATGGAAGACCTCAGCCCAGAACAGGCGGCTTCCATTGCTGCAGAAATGCGAGCCCACGCCAGGGAGCAGCAGCAGCTGAAGCAGCAGCTGCAGATCAGCGGAGCCGTAAAGTCCGTTACACCAGCCGGGCTGCATCCTCTGCACGTCGACGTGAACGTTGCTCCAGCTAGTGCTACTGCTGCTGCCTCTGGGAGGTGGGGGACGTCAGATGGCTCCACTAGCCTCCGAGAAGTTCGTTCTGGGCAGCTGCATGGGGAGACATCAGATGATGAAGGAACAGCAAAGGAAGCAGCCTCGCGGAGCATAGCCAACCAAGATCAGCAACGCCAACAGCAGCAGCCGCAGCAGCAGCATGAGGGCGAGTCCGAGGAGCAGACGTGTGAGCGGATTGCAGCCTCGATCCGTTTCCAGGCGGAGGCAGACCTCAACAAGCGCCGTGCAGAGTGAGCTTCCCTCCGGCTGCACATGTTGTGACTACCACGTCTAAATCGAATATATTTGTTCTGCTTGTAACATGCATGGTGCTCCTTCCCATTTGTTACATTAAGTCTTGTTTTCTGTTGCCGGATTCTGTGACACCATGCCCACTATGTGGCTCGCGGGCATAATCCGCCGCTTGCTGCGCGCCTGCACTTGCGTCGTGGGTTTCTTGTTCCTCTTTAGTAGCATATCCGCTGTTGCTTTCAGCCATTTCATTAATTTCTCATTTACGGGTCATTACACGCTAGTGCCAGCAGCAGCAGCAATAGTCGCAACAGCAACGGCGGAAATAGCAGCATTGCAACAAACAGCATTAGCAAAGGCAGCAGCAATGCCAGCAAAGGTAGAAACAGCAGCAGAGGCAGCAGCAAAAATAAACAGCAGCAGCAGCAGCAGCAGCCGTATGAATACTCTAGTGGTTGCTCATGTGCATTTTGTTCAGGATGGCCGCTTTGCGAGAGGATGCTGAACGTCAGCTGTTGTCTCTGCAGCTGCTGCCGCCTCAGCACGAGCGTTTGGCATCGTTGCCTGCGTCGTTTAGAGAAGCTCTTTTTGGGGTGTTTGTGTGCCTCTGCTTGCGGCATATTGAAGAGTACGTGATCCGATGTCTGTGCTGCAAGGCAACTGCTGCAGCTACTGCTCTTGAGAACTCTTGTGCAGTTTTGACCCTCTGTATGTGCCTCTCTGCCGTTTCTGTCTTCGTGTCTTGTTGTTGTGCTGCTCTCCCCTGTGTGCGGCGCTGTCTCCGTCCAGGTAGACGCCTGCCTAAGTGTGCCCCTTCTCTGCCTCTGCTGCTGCTGCAGGTGTGATGAAGACTTTCGGGGGGAAATAACGACATGGGCTTTGGGTCTCCTGGATGCTCTAGCGTCTCCTCACTTGCTGCATTTGGGAGCGCATATCGCCAACTGCCTCAGCAAGCCGATTGCTTGGCGGGAACAGCTACAGAAAGATGGAGTTCGGGTCGGTGCTGCTGCTTCATTTGCCGCTGATGCTTCCAGTGTGGCAGTTGCGCCTGTCGCTGTTGCTGGTGCTGCTGCTGTAGGCGGTCTTCATGGCAGCAGCGGATGCTAGGGCCCCTGTTATTTGCTTCTCTGAGTTGCGGGTTTGCCAGTACCTGCTTTTCGGGTTGTCTGGGGGTTCCGTGCCTCGGGAAGCAACAGCTAAGCGTGGCGTGTCTGCTCTGTTTCTCGTGCGCGCCAGCAGTGGCAGTGGAAGGTGTTCCATTAGTTGTGGATGCTGTTTTGCTGCGGCTGTGGTTCGTTTGCAAGGCAAGCGACATCGTTACATTGGACCCGCTCATTCACAAGATGGAAGCGTTCTTCGCAGAGAAGCAGGCAGAGACAGATGAGCTCTTCCGCAGCGTGCAGCTCCGCCTCAGGGCCAGCCGCTCGGCAGAGTCCCCCGCTGACGATGCCCTGCGAGAGGCTCCTGACGCCCCCTGCAGCGGTAGCAGCGGTAGCAGTAGCAACACAAGTAGGAATAATATCACGAAGGGGAGCCACTACACCGGTGTCACCGGTAGCACCACAAGCAGTAGCAGCAGCAGTAGCAGCACGGAGTACTCGCATGGCCCGAACTGGGAGGATGCAAGGCGCGGCTCCACCCTGGGGGTTGGAGGCTCTGCTGCTGAGGCGTCGCCTGAGCAGCGGCAACACGAACAGCAGCAGATAGAGCATCAGCAACCGGTAGGGGACACAGATCCCAGAATGCGCGCGCTGTTGCAGCCACCACCTACACAACCGGGAATTATGAATGAACAGCAGCAGCAGCTGGACGAGTCGCAAGTGCAGCAGCAGGGGGACTTCTCCGCAGTGGATGGCTGCATGGAAACCCATGCAGAGGTCAAGGGTGAGCCTTGCTGCCACAGAGCAGTCAACGCTGCAGCCGCTGCTGCAGAGGTGGCTGTAGAAGGCGAAATTGGCAACAGCCAACAGCCCGGGGGCGAACAACGCACTGCAGGGGGAGCGGATGGTGGAGGACTGAGAGGCCCTGCGCAGACGACAGTGCAAGGTACTGCTGCTATAGCAGTGTACCAGGAGCACCAGAGACCGCAGGAGACGTTCGACGACCCGGCAAAGCCATTAGCTAACTGGGAGGAGGGCCAGCAGGAGCAGCAGAAAACACGAGAGCAAAAACTGGAGCGGAACCAGGAAACACAGCCGCAGGATGGGTCTCCATCGGAGCAGCAGTTGCTGCAGCAGAAGCAGCTGCAGCAGGGCCAGGAGCTGCTGCGTAGGGGCGGCGGCTGCACACACGTTGGTGAGCAGCAAGTGACAGACGAAGATGAAAGTGACGCCGATGCGCCTTCCTATGCGCGTGGCTCCCTACAGCAGCAGCAACAGGGTGAGGATGAGGTGCAGGAGCAGCAGCACGGACAAGGAGACTCGTCTGAGGCATGCAACTCGTCTGACGACGAACGAGGTTTGTTTGAAGGAGGGGCTGTTCCCTCATCATTGTCCATGTGGGCGTCGGAACCGCCGGCATACCGCGTGGTGTTCTTGAGGGAATTGACGACTGCCTTGGTGACAAATGGAACATTCGATGCAAGGATACAAATGCTCCTCGACAGGTTTGCACACGAGCCTCTCCTGCGCCAACTGATGTTGCTCAGGCGACTTTGCTGATGGTGCTATGCTGGTGCTGGTATCCATACATGGGAACAATTGGTGTTGGCACTGTGGCACCAGTTGTTGCAGCGTTGTTTGGAGCACTGCTTCAAAGGCTCTTTTCAGTGCCCCCCCGGGTGCTGCTGTTTCTGCTGATCCAGCTGCTGTGTTGTTGTGGCTGCTGTTGCAGACGGTGTTTCTTTACGTGTTTCTCCATCAGACTTCCACGCTGTCTCATGGGTGCTGCTGCAGAGTTGCACTGCTGGGGCTTGTGTGACATTCATTTGTGTCGTGCTGTGCTTGTTGCTTTCAGATTGGCAACAGAACTACGCATCAACCCTTTGCTCCTCATTCGTATCGAAGAGAACCTCGCGGCCGACCTCTTGTCAATACTGCAGGTGAGGACCTGCTGCACGAACGGCACAAACACAGCAGCAATAGCGGTGGGACCACCAGAACTAACAGGGGCAGCAACTTGCAGGCAGGCGTGCAGTTGACAGGTGGGAGCACCGTGGAGTCGCTGCTGACACTTTCGCATGCGTAGCCACAGCAGCGGCATGAGAGATGCAACAGTCGCCCTCGTTCTTGCCTTTACGTTGCGTGCCAAAGGCAAATACCAAGGAGGGCTCGAAGCAGAAGACGTGGAGGCGCCTCAAGATAGCCGGTAGGTCTCATGGTGGTCTTCCTGTGAATGTTTTTCGTGCGCCTTTGTACTTCTATGTTATCTCGCTGTGGTGTTTTTGTCTCTGCATAGTCCTGTATTCTTCTCTGTCTCTGGCCTGGCCCCCGGTGATGTAACCGGGCGTGGGTTCCGGTGCATATCCGCGCGCTGTGTCTAAGGCACCTCTCTTGGTCTCTGACTGCATTGGAATGCATGCGCTGCTGCTGATGATGATGGTTCAGGTGCTGCGGTAGGCGGCGGAGTGCTGCTTGCACTGACTGCTGGATTGGCTGCACCGGGGATTGCTGCTGCTGTGGCGTCTCTTGGCTCACTTCCCCTCTCAGCATTCCTGGCTTCGGCAGGGGGAATGGCCGCACTCGTCTCGATATTTGGGGCAGGTGGTGCTGGTGAGCATAATGAGACTATTCCTTGTGCTGCTACAGCTGAAGGCGCTGCATTTGCTACTGGCTGGGTACCGGCATCTGCTGCCGCAGCTGCTGCTGTTGGCGTGGCAGCTGCCATGGTGTTGCAGCGTTTCCTGCAGCAGCTCATCCTGCTGTATCCGCTTCTGAGTGTGTTTTCGTTGTTGCTGCCGTGTGTCCACTTATGGCGTCGAACACGGGCAGGAATCAGTTTGCTGCCGTTACTGCTGCTACTGCTGCTGCGTTTAGGCTTGACAGGGTGGAAATACAGCCGACGTATTGCCAATATAAAGATATTTGAGTTCCTGATGCTGAACGGCCGCAGCCCTTCCTCCCTTCGAGTTGGGATCGGTGTCAGCGGATATCTCAGGGACGACGACGATGTCACCTTACCCTGGGTGTGTGTTACGGCAGCTGTTAGTACTGTTGTAGGAGCTTCTCCAATTCGTTCTGCAGCTGCTTCTGTAGATGGTACTTCGATTGTAGTGACTGTGGGCGCATTATCTACAGCTGCGCCAGTGTGTGAGGTCAATGACAGCTGCGTATTGGGGTTCAGGCAATAGTTGCGGTTGCCCGCACTTGCTGCAGGTGCTGTTGCTGTTGCTGTGCTGTTGACTCTGTTTGGTTCGACTCAGGTCTGCTCTTTCCCCAACCCGCGCTGCGATTTGCATGCGCTGAAGTGGGAGCCCCACGTGTTGAAGGCGCTGGGTGGAATGGTCATCAAGATGGTGTCTCAGGCGCGTGGTTGCCTCTGCATTGCTCTGCCGCTTCTGTGTAAAGATTGTCTCCCATTCCATTTATGTGTATCCTATGTGCCCCTATGCTCCCCTGTTTGTCCCTGTGCATGCGCTCCTCCTCATTTGAATGTTTTATGCCTCCCTGTGTCGGCGAGCCGATGGCTTTTTTTTTTCCCACGTGTGAGGGTGGTGTGCCGTCTTTTTGTATATGCTGGGGCTGAGTTGCATCTTTGTTATTTTTTGCGTTTCTTCTTGCTGGACATCAGTTGTTCGTTATTGTTCAAGATGTCCCTGCAGCTGCTGTGTCTGTTTCTTTTTGTGGGTGCAGGACTTTGCCGTGAGCGCTTCAAAGTTCTATCTGCAGTACACTGTCCTGGGAGGCCTCACATTTGCCCTCTTCTGGCCCATTGCCCTTATTCAATACGCCGCCGGCCTCGACAACACGTGGATGCTCTGCCGAGAACGGGCGCAGCAGGCAGGCAACATCCTGGCTGACGCCGTATCCGACAAAGCTGTCAGCAACGCCGCCTGCTACTGCTGCTGTTGCATTTGCTGTCGTTCCTGCTGCACTCGCTGCTGTTTCGTGTGATGCTGGCGTTTGTTGTTGCCGCCGTTAAATATTTTCCATCCACGGGGGTGCTGCTGCTTCTTGTTGTGCCCGATGCTGCTGCTGGTGCTGCTGTCAGTGGCAAAGCGATTGCTGCCATTACTGCTGCTGCCAGGTGCAGCTGAGGACCCACACAGGACTTCTGGAGTGCTCATTGATGTGCAGGCAGTGGGACAGAGACCCGTGACGCTCGCGGGGTATAGTATGGGGGCGCGTGTTATATTCTACTGTTTGCAGGCGCTGTGGAAGAAGGTAAGTAGCATGTGATGCTGCTGAAATGTGTGCACAGTGACAATGGTAAAGCAGTCATGCTGCCCCTTGCCATTTCGCTCCAGATGTTACTGCACGGCGTTGATGCTGTGCGCCTGTCCCAGCGGTGGCCGCTGCATTAGCTGCTGTTGCCTGCTTCTACAACTTCCTCTGCTGTTCGCCGTTCACGTGCTACTGTTGTACTTTGCAGCGTAAGTTCCACTGCGTACATGACGTGGTCTTAATGGGCCTACCGGCTTCTATGAACGCGGCGCAGTGGCGACAGGCGCGGCAGGTGACTTCAGGAAGGTTGGTGAATGTCTACTGCCGCACAGACTGGCTGCTCGCCTTTCTGTACCGATGGATGGAATTCAGACTCCAGGTACGCAACCTCCACAGCTAACCAGCCAGCCAGCGAACTACCTTCCTCGGCCACCTTGCTACCTGTCCGGTAACAGCCTAGCGAGCTAGCTGGCCCCTGCACCTCCAAGGGGAATCTAGCAGCGACTCACCGTTAGAGGACAGGGCGGCCTTCCTGTGATCTTGGGCACCCCGCGTAGCCTGCTTAGCCCGCAGCGTGGGGCGTGCTTGTGCGGGCTTTGGGCTGCATGCATGCATGCATGCGGCGCCTTTCAGGTGCGGCGCCGGTGTGTTTTCAGGTGGCGGGCCTAGCCCCCGTGACATCTGTGCCGGGTGTCGAGAACGTCGACGTGACGGGTCTCGTCAAGAGCCACGCGCACTACCCCGAGAAGGTCCCGCAGATTATGTCCTTCATCTCCATCGAAATGTAGCCCCTTGCCGCAGCCGGCACATGTAGGGCAACTTGCTAAGCAGTGCCATATACCTAGTGCTGGCTAGCCTACTTCTGTCAAGCGGTGCTAAATAGTCGGTGTTGCTGAGCTAGTGCCGGCTAGCCAATGCTATTTTACCAGCCCTAACTAGCGAGTGCTAGCTCGAGCTACTCATGGCCTTATGACTGGCTAGCCAGTGGCTAGGGCGCTACGTGTTTGCTGCGTGGGTGTGTGAATTTGACTTTCACATCTAATAGTAAACTATGCATAGCTGCATCTGCTTGGCTCCAAGCCTGCGCTCGGGTGCTGTTTGCGCCACACGGCAACTTAAGGCTCGAACACGCCTGCGTCTTCTTTGAATTCGTATTCCGAGGACCGCCGGTAATCCTGGCACCAGAGTTGAGCAACGCTTGGACGTATGCTTCAGGCAAGCACTTACTTGTCGTACTGCTGCAGCTGCTGCTAACATAGATGGTCGTGCATGGCAACTGTAACTCTTGGGGCCGCGTAGAGGTGCCCCCAAGGGGTGGCCGCGGTCGCTCCTGTGGGAGTGGTGCAATTTACTACTATTGTGTTGCTGCTGCAGCAACACGCGCGGCAGGATCGTTTGCTGCAGAGAGTGCAGCACAAGTCTCTCCAGCAGTCTCTGCTGCTGCACGCCGTGCCGCAAGTTTGTTTCTGTGGGCATCAGAGATCGAGCGACGCTGCTGCAGTTGGCTGCCGTACACGCGGCAGTAGTGACGAAGGTACGGGTCCTGCCAGGAAGACACCCCACCAGCAAAACCTGTTCATGCTGAGCCCTTCATTCACACTTTGCAGCCCTTAGCAGCATCAACAACCTTGGCATATACAAAGGCATTGCGAATAGAAGCAGATCCACTGATGTACGCGCCAAAGCTTCGCTGCAGCGGCATCAAGCCAGGAACAAAAACAGAAAAAGTAGCAGCAATGTGAAACCTATGTATGTTTTTGATTACCTTTATGCCAAAAAGGCACACTGTTAGGCCGACTCTTTCCTTCTCCTGTGGTGTCAAGTCCGCGAAGCGCCTACCCACCTCATCCACCAGTGCCTACAGCAGCAACAGCACGCAGACACACTCACCAGCGTAGCAGCCGCCCAAGGTTTGTGTAGCTGCACAGGCAAACCAAGAATACGACACAACTAATGCACCTCGGAGCTCTACCGCACGAACAAACAGTTTCAAAGCCACACACAAGCACCAAGTGCATAACACAAAACTACACCACAGCTCGCCTTCAAAGCCGCCGAACGTTGAGCCTTGTGTGCCGCCTCCGCAGGCAGCAGCTGCACCAGCAGAAGTGCCCTGCATACATCAGCAGCAGCGGGCAACAGTGAAGCCCCCACTTCCGATATTATAAGGCCCACACTCCTCACAAGGCTCTCAGCTGCAGCCTGCAGCAGCGGCGCAGCCGCTGCCCCTCCAACTACTGCTGGAGCCAACACATCCCTCAGCAACTGGAACAGGGACTGCTGTTGTCGCTGCTGCAGCGGATGCTGCGCGTTCTTCCGAGAAAGCCGCAGCAGCAAGGGCTGTAACAACACCCTTTCTGCTGCTGCTGTTGCTGCACCCACAGTTTCCATCAGCTGCAGTATATCAGCAGTAGGAACCTCCCAGGGATTCAAAGGCACATACTGGAGGTGAGTTGAGGCAGCAGCCTCTGATGGAGCTGCTGATGCTGAAGCTGAATCGGCTGGGGGCTCATTTCGCTCTCGCTGCTCTTGCTTCAGCAAAGAGTGCAGTACCATCAACTGCTCCCTTGTCTGCTGCAGCATAAACAACAGCGCAGCCGCACCTGGCTGCTGCGTCAGATACGCAGCTCCCTCCGCTCGCCTCTCTTCCCCTTTCATAGCGTCTCTATGGTTCTCCTGATGCCTTTCCTGCCGGTACATTTCCTGCGGCTGCAGTCTCTGCTGCTGGTGCTGCAGCAGTCCTCGCTGCTGCTGGAGCCCCAGCTGCCGAGGCATGTGCGAAGCTCCGGCAGCAGCTGCTGTGGAGAGGACACTCATCAGCCGCCCCGTTTCCTTCGCGCTAAAGGCTGCTGCTGATGCTCCTGCTGCTGCTGTTGCTGTTGCACATGGGACTGATTGTCCTGCTGCTGCTGCTTCGTCCTGCCCCAAGGGAATGAACGCGTCCGCTGCCTCCAGCAACTCGACACTGGCCTTAGTTAGTTGCAGCAGCTGCTCTTGCTGCTGCTTTTGTTGCTGGTATTGCTGCAGTGCATCAGCAGCAAGCGCTGCAAGGCTTCCCACTGTGGCTTGCTTCTGAATTTTGTGCTCCTGTGGGCTAAAGCGCAGTAGGAAAGCAGTGGCGCTGCAGAGAAGCTCAGCGAGTGGCAGCAGCTGAACTAGTGTTCGCTGTTGATGTTGTTGCTGTGCTCGTCTTTGCAACAGCGGCTGGGCCTGCTGCACTAAGTGCTGCAACGCTGAGCAAAACACAGCAAACTCGTGTGGGGAAAAGCAGTTGATTGCCTCCGGTTTCATAGCAAATAGCTGCTGCTGTTGCTGCTGCTGCAACTCCAGTCGTTGGTGCTCCAGCTGCTCCTCTGGCAGAAGCCAAGTATCAATGCTCCGACGAACCAGTAGCTGCAGCAGCTCAATGCTGCAGCAGTTGCAAGTGGCGAAGACTGCAATCAAGTCTGCTGCTGCTGCGGGAGACAGGCACTGGATGTCATCAATAAACTCCCGCGTCAACGTTAGCAGCAAAGACGCAGATACCGGCCTCCCAGAAGGCAGCCTCTGCTGCAGCAGCAGCCTCTGCTGCACCGTGCTTCTCTCGAGCTGCAGCTGTTGCGGCAATGCGAAGTGCTGGCGGAAGAAAGGCACTGCTGCTGCTGTTGTTGTGTTGTATCTGCAGCAAATGAGGCGAAGAACCGCACCCAGAGACGATACCGGCAGCAAATCTCTCGAGTAGAAAATGCGGTCGCAGAGGCCCTGCCAAAAAGGGCTGTCGTCCCTTTCTGTTGCTGCGGCTGCTGCTGCCGAGCCAGTTGCTGCTGCTGCTGCTTCTGATTCCCGCCAGCGTGCTAGAGCAGCAGAAGCAACGGCTTCTAGAGAAAAAGCAGCAGCAAAGCCAGGGGAAACAGAGTCTGCTTCTGCTGCATCGCCGCTGAGAGACACAACATCTCTACCGGCAACCCCCAGTCCCTCTGGGGGCGGCCCTCCGGCAAGCTGCAGCAGCTGTGTGTCTTGGAGCTGATATAGCTGCTGTTGCTGCAGCTGCTGCTGACCAACAGCAGCAGCAGCAATACCACCATCCTGCGGAAGGAATGGAACTCCGCACGCAACACCTTTTGGGGGTGCGACGGCGGGAAGAGGTGGAATTGGCAGCGAATGTGGATGATGTTTGCTACGCTTTGCTGCTCGCCTCCGTTGAATGAGATGCTTCAGGTGTATAGCCAACGGAGAAGGAATGAAATCTCCTGCAGTGTTACTGTTGTGGCTGCTGCTCGGCAGCGAATTCAGGAACGGCTGTTGCTGCCGCAAACGGGGGATAATGAAGAGAGGGGCAAGGTCTGCAGATGCATGCACCACGCTGCGTCTCCTCGTGCGGCTGTTAAGGTATATTACGCGTGAGTCTGTACTGAATCTGTGGCTATTGCCGAGGTTGCTACTGCTGCTGCTGTGGTGTTCACAGTAGCAAGCACACATAGCCCTCTGCTGCTGTCTCCGCAAAAACCATGAACCCACTGTAACAGCGGTGAAGGGGGAACCTTGAATTATCATTCTCTAATGCATTGTTCTGTCTATTGTATCACCTACGTCGAAGACCGAGGCTACCGCCGCCGTCTGCTGTACAGGCAACAACTGCTGCTCGTAGGGTCACACCTCACAGTGTCCCACAGCTGCCTTCTTAAGTGTGATACTCCAAAACGTCAAAGATAATCATTGGTCTCTGTCACTGCTGGACCCACCGCAGTAGCAACACCGACCCCCAGAGTCTCACGTTCGATATCCGCTGCTGTATTTGTCTCGGTAGTTATAAGGGCAATCCGTTAGTTATCTGTGGTACCTTTCTCTTTTAGTTTAATTTAGCAGTTCTACTTAACCGGCCAGTGGTTGCATTGTCTGCATGCAGCAGCAGCAGCTTCACTGCTGCTGCCAGCGGCCGCTGCTCCCGCTCCGGAGGATATGTTACAGCTGCACGTCAGCTCGAGGGCTGGAGGGTTTAGAAGTCTCGTGTATTTCTTGCATAAAGAAAGTAGAACAACTAATGATTTTGCGAGCTGGTATAACAGTAGGGAAGGGCGTTTTTCTTCTTCGAGGCAGCACATTCACCCGTCTATCGCTTCAACACCATCAACAACACCCCGCAGTAGTTTTTGCTGCCCCAGTTTCACTTGCTACTGCGGAGGTTGCTGCATCCGCATTGCGTGCTGCTGCTACGGCATATACAGATCAAAAGCAGCACGAGTACTCCTGCCTCTCTTCCGCGTCCGCGAGGGCACAGAACACTCTAGTTGTGCCGAGGTTGCTATATCGTGGGAGAAGTGTGCTCGTGAGCAGGAGTAGCTGCACCAGCAGCAGCAGTTGCAGCAACAGAAGCAGCAGTGAGCTGATGCTGACAATGACAGCCCAAGAAGGTCCGACGCAGCAGCAGCTGCAGCAGGAGGAGACCCTTAAGGAGTCCCTAAGAAGTGCAGGTATCTCCTTCAAGGTAAGGGACGTCGCTGCTGCTACTACTGCGGGTTCTTGTGTCGGTGGTGTGTGTTCCGCAAGAAGTGAAGCAGTTGACCTTGTGCAGGATGCAGTGGTCGAGTTGCTGCTTATAGGGGGGCCAGAGAAAATTCCCTTCTCCGTACTGTTGGTGTTGTTGCCGTTTCGTGCAGGCACACAGACACCCGAAGGCGTGCACAGTGGAGGAGTTAATTACAGCTGTTGGTCACTTGGGAATCCCCGTATGCAAGAATCTTTTTCTGAAGGACAAGAAAGGCAGCTTGTTCCTCCTTACGGCTCTCCACGTAGGACCACACCCTGGACTCCGAACACAAAAGCCAAAGTCATGACAGCACACCCCATGTGGGGGGGCAACTGCAGGTCTACTTGACCCAGACGTATCCCACACTATGCCTAGCAGATTGCAGCGATGGAAGCTGCCGCTGCTGCTGCAGGGAGCAGCAAGTTCCATCATCATCAACAGCACCAACGCAGTAAATGCTGTTTGTGCATAGGACTCGCCGACCCCCCTGAAGGGCCTAATGATGAAGCTGGGTGTGCAGAAGCTGCGGCTAGCCGATGAAAAAACGCTGGAGGCATCCCTGCTGGTGCTGCCGGGATGCGTCACCCCATTCGCCATTCTTAACGACGAGAAGTGAGGCGGTTGGGACGGCGGGCAGCTGTCTCAGCAGCTGGGCCACAATACTTTCCAGAAGTAGCAGGTGCTGATGAAGTTGCACCCCGGAATTCGCTGTTCCTGTTAGTTGAAGGTGGCGTTGGCCTTTGCGTTGCAGCCGCGAGTACCCACGCCCAGCCCGTTGCGCAGCAGCAAATACCGGATCTACTGATTGATGTTTCTGCTCCTGCAGGAAGGCGGTGACCTTCTTGCTGGATGCGAAACTGAAGGACAGCGAAAAAATGGTCTTGGTTCACCCACTTCACAATTTTGAAAGCCTTGAGATCGCCGCCAGGGACATCATCTCCTTCCTCATCTCCAAAGGCGTCGCAATCGATTTCGTTGATTGTCAAGGTGGGCTGTTGCCTCTCCCCTGTTGGTCGATGCTCCTGCTACGGAATTTTCGACTGCTTCCGTTGCCGTCGGTCTCGTTCGTGTAGCGTTTGTGGTTGGCGCTTCTGCTGGCGTCGTTTCCTTTTGGGTGTTGCTGGAGCTACAGGCTCAAGCTCTCTTGCTGCCTATATATTGACCCTGCTGGCTGCTGGTAGTAGTGGTGCTGCTGATCCGCACTTGCTGCACTCGCCAGCAGTCTACACTGCTTCCGCCGGTGGGGTGTGGTCCATGCTAGCGTTAATGTGCCCTTGGAATGACCGTGTGGGGGTTGGGAGAAAGAGGGGGTCTGCAGCTGGTGGCGGTGTTGCTGCTGCAGCACAACAGCATTGCTGCTGCAGCACAGGATTTGCTGGTTCTGTGTGTTGCGTTTGCCGCTGCAGAGCTGCAGGCCCTTTCAGAGGCTCCTGCTGAAAGCTCGAACGGCGCCGCAGCTGGCAAGAAGTCGGGTGTTGCAGCTAAGAGCACCAAGGAGGAATCGCAGCAGCAGGAGGCCACGCTGGGAATGACAGCCAAGAAAGCTACGAACTTTGCGGAGTGGTACACCCAAGTAAGCATTGTTCCTGTAGCGTCTCAAAAGACACTCATCAGCATTGGCAGCCCTTCCCTAGCCCGGGCCATAGCATGCGTTTTTTATTTGATGTTATTAGTGTAGTGTGCGGCCCTGCTCGCGCTTGTGATCCTACTCTTTGGATAGTGGCACGTTCTTTTACTATCTCCTTTTCTGTCTCTCCTCCAACCTTTGCTCGTAAACGACTTTTTTGTCTGGATGCTTCGTCGCCCCCACAATCGCAGTCCATCCGTAGCTGACGGATTACCTCGGAGTTGCACTGCCTCGTGCAGGGTTTGACATGCGCTTTCTCGGTTGCTGCTTCTTCCTCTTGTGTGTGTTTACCCCTTATGTGGTCTTTTCTGTGGTCTTTTCTGAGGAACGTGCCCTCCTGTCTTTGTTTTGGGTGTCCCCTCATTTGCTGCGTTTTCCCTCGCATTTGTCACGTAGGTCCCATGCCGTTTCTTCATCGGTGTTCTTAGTTCCGTTGCCTTTGTCCTTCTGCTGGTTCACATCCTGTCGGGGCGGTGTGTTGCCTTAGTTTTGTCCTTGTGTACATTTGAAGGTGCGCTTTTGCATCGTCTCTCTGCGTTGCCCTTCGTGCTTTTGTGCGTAGCTGTTTTTGCGGTGTGTCGAAGCACTTTATTTGCCCTCCGTGCGCTGCTGCAGGCCATCGTGCGAGGAGAGCTAGTTGAATATTACGACATTAGCGGGTGTTACATCATCAGGCCCTGGGCCTACAGGATGTGGGAGGTCGTCCAGCGCTTCTTCGACGATAGCATTAAACGCCTCGGAGTAGAGAACTGCTACTTTCCCATGTTTGTCTCGCAAGTTAGGCAACCGCTTCGTCAGAGGCGTGGACCCAGTCTTGCCACATTTCCCTTCTTGGTTGTCTGTGTTCTCGCCACTTCTCGTGTGCTGGTTGTTGTTGCTTTCTGCCGTGGCTCTTCTCCGTCTACATGCGCTGGTGTCTCCTTCCACTTGGATGTTCCGGCAGTTCAGTAGCTTAGCAGTAGATGGAAAGGCCGTTTTGCTTCGACAAGCGGTGGCGACTTTCGAATGCACAAAGTGTAGGGATCATATTCAGTGTCTCCTCTCATAGCAGGCTTTTCTCCCTCTTGGTGGCTTTGTGTTACGTTTGATGTGTTGCGTGCTCCCTACGACCGCTCCCAATGACTTCCTCACCTTAGCTTAGCAGCTGCTGCTGCATCAACAGGACACCAGCAGCAGCAGAGGCAGTGGCGAGTTCGGCTAGGTGTGCCATGCAGGCCAAGCTGGAGAGGGAGAAAGACCACGTAGAGGGGTTCAAGCCGGAGGTTGCATGGGTCACGCACTATGGGGAGTCTGAGTTGCCCGAAAAGGTTGCCATTCGTCCCACAAGCGAAACAATCATGTACCCCGCATATGCCAAGTGGATTCGATCCCACAGAGACCTGCCACTCAAACTCAACCAGTGGAATAATGTCGTCAGGTAACTCTTGACACAATACCAGTGGCAGCTGATGCTGCAGCAAAGTAGCTTATTCCGTGGCTGAGAAGGCGTGCAGTGTCCAGCAGCGTATGGGGCTACCTCGTGCGTGAAGGGCCAGCACTTACACGTGTGGGCGAGCCCTGGCAGAGTGTTGCACACAATCGCTGAAGGGTTTCTGACGCTGCTTATCTAGCGGTAGTGCTCCTTCTACTGCTGCAGATGGGAGTTCAAGCAGCCCACCCCGTTCCTGCGCACGAGGGAGTTCCTGTGGCAAGAGGGTCACACCGCCCATGCCAGTGAGGAGGAAGCCTTTGCCCAAGTCCTCGACATCTTGGAGTTGTACAGACAGTACGCAGGACCCCGAATGTCGTCAAGATCGAACGAGTTCTAAAGGCGTTGTGTTGAGTGATTGCGTATCCGCGGCTGTTGAGGGTGCCTGGATATTCGTTGTTGAAAGCGGCGGCTGCCGCTGCTGCCTTGCCGTTTCAGTTCGGATTGGCTGCTGTGCTGTTGCGTTTTGCTACTGCCGCCTTAGGTGGTACGAGGACTACCTGGCGGTACCTGTGATAAAGGGAGAAAAAAGCGAGAACGAGAAGTTTGCTGGCGGGAAGATGACGACTACCATTGAAGGAATCATCCCAGAAACAGGCCGAGGCATTCAGGCTGCCACTTCACATCTACTCGGGCAAAACTTTTCGAAAATGTTCGGCATCGAATTTGAAGGTCGGCGGCATAAAACACGGTGTCTCCTGCAAGCGAGCAGCTGTCTGCTCCTCATACCCTTCGTTGGGGCCTGGTGCTCCTATTTTGATGTGCATGTTTATCGTGGTTGTTTCCACCCGGATCTGGCTCTCGGTTTTGACTGCCACTCTGCTGCCAGGGTCTTCTGTAGTTTTTCGTTGCTTTGTCTTCGCATTTTTGCTTATATTAGCCACGCGCCTGTGGCTTTGTACTTGCTGTCAAGTGGCTGCATGTGACTTTGCTGTATGTATCTGTGCAAGCGCAGTCACAACGCATCGCAGTAGGGCAGTCGTGTGTGCGGGGTGTTCGCTTTCGCCGCATTGGGTGCGTTTTCACGGTACTTGCATTGCTTCCTGTAGAGTCCTTGATGCGCGCCTGCAGACGAAAAGGGGGCAAAGCAGCTGGTGCATCAGACGAGCTGGGGCTGTACTACGCGCTCTTTGGGTGTGATGATTATGACTCATGGTGACGACAAGGGCCTGGTACTTCCTCCGCGGATTGTCGCTGTCCAAGCCGTCATCATCCCTATCATCTTCAAGGTGGGCAGTCTTTGATGTTTCTGTGTTCGTGCCTGCCAGCCTCCGCTCGCTGTGTGACCTGACGAGTGCATGCATTGCATGAGTGTCGCCGCCTCCCCCTTTGTTTCTCTCTCCCGGTCTGTATTCGTGGTGTCTGTGCCGGAAGTGCCATTTAGATTTGCTGGCGAACGGAGGTATCTTTCGAGACACCGAGTGTGTTGCGTCTTCCTCACAGTAGTTTCTTCGCTGTTACCGCATTCACGAAGCTTTTCTTTTTAACCCTTTCGTTGCAGGAGAAAGGAGGATCTGAGATCGTTGCAAAGTGCCGTGAGCTCGAGAAAACGCTTGCAGCAGCGGGCGTGCGTGTAAAGGTGGACGACAGGGTGAGTTGGTTTTTCAGCACGTCGTGGCTGCTGTACTTCAGTTGGCCTGTTTCGGATGCTTGCCTCACGTTATTTCGTCAACTTCATACGTATCGATCGTGTGGTTACTGCGAAGTCTGTTGCTTCGCGAGGGCTCCTTAGTTGTTTCCATCGCAGTAGGCGCCAGAATGCCTCTGTTGACACAGCATAGTTGCAGCAGAACGGCGGGATCCTGCGCTTCGGGCTTCTCCTCCAGCTGTCGATGTCAGCAGCGTTTTCCATAGTTGTACCCTGCCCCCTTCCCTTATGAGTTGCGTTGCTGGTGTCTTGTGTCCTCCCCAGACTAACTACACTCCGGGTTGGAAATTCAATGACTGGGAGCTGAAAGGTGTTCCTCTCAGACTGGAGATTGGCCCACGAGACGTGGAGAACTGCCAAACCCGAGTGGTCCGTAGGGACACCTCCGAGGCGCGGAATGTCCCTTGGGCGGAGGCGGGATCGACAATCCCAGCTATGCTTGAAACCATGCAGAAGGACCTCTTTACCAGAGCAAAAGAGCGATTTGACGCTTCCATTGAGAAGATAACGTCTTTCGAAGAAGTAATGCCGGTTCTTAATAGGCGGCATATTGTTCTTGCTCCATGGTAAGGAACCTTACACTATTCAACAGAGTGTAGTGGGCGGAAGGGTTCCGTCAACAGTTCAGGGCTAACGGGCAGCGGTGCTGTAGGCAACTGGCGCCATGTAGATACAGCAGGACAGCAATAAGCTCACAGCTCCTCTAAGGAGGTGTGGGGAGCCTAAAGACAGATGCGGAGGTTTGGCACCTTTGAGGGTTTCTTAGAGCGAATGTTGCCGGACTTTTGTGGGGCGGTCCAGGTGTGAAGACCCGGATACAGAGACTCAGATCAAAAAGGAAACCCAACGCCTATCTGAGATGCAGGTGCGTGGGGGGCTGACCCTTCTCCTTCGGGAGACCTGGTACTCCGTAGAAGCGTGGTTGTGATTGTCTCTCATGTTGTTGCACCATAGGAAGTTACCACTCACAGCGAATGCTTGTTTGTTTGTTTGTCTGGTCTTAGGCTCGTGAGAACACAGAGGGCATGACGGGAGCAATGAAGTCCCTGTGTATCCCCTTCGAGCAACCTCCCATGCCAGAGGGGACGCGCTGCTTCTTCACAGGCCGGCCAGCGAAGCGCTGGTGCCTATTCGGCAGGAGCTACTGAGAGCCGTGTTGGACGACAGCAGCGACAGAACCCGGCCGCCGTAGCCTCCCCGTGGAGTTTGAATATCGAGGTTTTGGAGTACTTTCACAACTACCCGCACACCATAGCATCAGCTGTTAGGGCAGCTGCTGCTATAAAGTGTGCAGCAAACGGCTGCCCACAGAGGCCCTGCGGTCCAAAACAACTGTAAAGTGCATTTGTTAACAAACCCGAGAGCAAAAAATATTTTAACTCGTCTGCAACGTTTTGCCATTGTCAGTGCGGCGCCGCCGACTGGCTGCAGCTGCTGCACACTACATGTTTCCTGTGTCTCCTGTAGAGATTTTGGCCGCGCACACAGCGCTTGCGGTGTTGTTAAAATCAAGGCCGCTGGTGTCAGCGACAGGGCCTGCGCGTAGCGTGGCGGCCGCCCCTAACGGCTGATACCCAGAAAACACTTCAGCAGCGCAGAGGCCGCGCTGGCTCAGGTGTAGGAAACTCCTGTTACACTCCCCAAAGGCACAAGACAGCGCTGTCCTTTCAGCAAAGTAGACGGAGGCAGACCCAATGCTACCTGCCTCAGAGAGGCACAATGTTCGGAAGCCCGGCACCAAACATGTGTCCCTGTCGCGTGTAGAAACGGCTGGACGGGCCGGTGTGTCCGCTCGTGTGATCGCAGCAGCACCAGTAACAGTTACCGTAGCACTGTTGCACATTGTGTCGCGGGAAAGCGACAGAAAAAGCAGGAGACACAACTCTAAGTCAATGCCGTGAAGTAGCGACGGGGTAGGTCGGAGACCCGCTGAGCGTTCTCGAACAAGAATCACAAAGCATACGCATCAACAATAGCAGATGATACAGCGGCAGCTGCATTTAAAAGTCAAGGGAAGCCGACGTCTCCCTGAAATCGGGAGCAGGGAGCTGCTGAAGGGGAGGCCCTAACGGCATCGGTTGAGAAGACGCCGGATTGGCCCCTGAGGTACGAAGCATCTCCAGCACTTCTTGTTCCACTGCGGGAAACACATCACACCACAAGCAAACGGCAACTATGATCTGCTCCCCTCTGAACACCTGGTTCCCCCTGAGTTCACGTTCCTGTGCCCCGCCATCATTAGAGTTCCTTTATCCTCACGGTTGCGCGTGATGAGGTCTAAAGGGGAGGGAACAGCGTGATGTTCAGTGGCTCTCCGGCCACTCCCCTCTAATAGTGAACCTAAATTCGTCAAGACGCCTGAGCCATGTACTGTGAGCACTAACCTTTAAGCTCCTGCTCCAGAGCCGCCGGCGGCAGCGTTGCCCTCCAAGCCTGAATCTTTTCCACAGCGCACAGCCTAGACTTGATAAAGCCGTGTTTCTTGACAAGAAAACGACGGGCCTCCCCCCGCATCTGCGCCACCCATGCGAACGTCTCAGCCTCAAAACGGACTCCGTGCACATACGGCAATTCCATGGCACGCCGGCTGAGGCGGGCCACGCGGCTTGCCGACACGTCCTGAGGGCACACACCTTGCAGCGCGCGCTTTACAGTCAAGCGCCCCCACACACAGAAATTGACGGGCACAACCAAAGCATAAATATGCAACTAAAATAAAACAACACCGGCAACCCACCACACATCTTCGGAGAAACGCAAGCAGACATACAATAAATGTACGCCCAAGGACGCGACGTGCACAAGACAGGCAAGCGAGAGCAACAAAGGAGCAAACCACAACACAAACCGGCATGCCCAGTGAGGCAAAAACGTTTAAGCTCCTTCGCCTGAGCCACTCATAAAGAACGTCTGCAGCACCCAGCCACCCAGCATACACTTCTCGTCGTGTACGGGACATCTCCTGAATAGTCAATGAGGTTGAAACAGCCCCCAGGGGGGCCTGTCGAGCCCAATCCCGTTGCCGCCAGTTCAGCAGAGGTGTCCTCGGGAGTCTTCACTTTTGACGGCCGTTCGGGGGGAGCCTCTGCCACCGCTGCTGCTGGCATGGCAGGCTTCTGTGCAGCAGCCCTACGGCTGTTCAGATGACGCCGGCCTGAAGCAGCACCAGAAGCAGCAAAATCAGGCTAGGCCATTCTCAAAACCTCCTAAATTCGGAAGAGGTCTTAAGTCCCTATGATGCGTGAGAATAAAGACACAATCCCGCTGTTGTCCCGCTGTTAGATGGCTGCTAGAATGATGGCCGTATCAATGGTAGTATACAACGATTCAGACGTGCAGAAGATGCGGCTGCTGCATCTACAGGCAAAGACATGGGCCTACTAAGCTAAAGGCCGCCCCTCTACAAGCTCTTTTGTTGTATTATCGGTGACAGATGGTGCAACTGTGCTTACACTGAGCTGCATAGAGAAGCGCCACCCGCTTCGCTCCCTCATAGCCGAGCTGCAAAACCGAAAAGGCGCGGCTCTCGGCCCCCCCCGCACAGCACAGCACGAGCCATGCGTTGTGGGGTTGGCTGTGGCATACGCGCACGTTGCCGCGCGGAGAGCGGCCGAGACCCTCTGCAGAGATGACGCTGCCCAGCTCCGCTGGTACGAGTTTCTTGCGATTAGGAAGAACGCCTACTGGTCCTGTCACTCCCGACCCTGTGCCTGCCGTCGGGGTAGTCGCCAAGGAGTTGGGTGCTGCAGTTGTGGAGGCAGAGGGGGAAACAGGCCACATGCACGGTGGCGAAGCGCTGGTAGCAGGTGTGGGGGAGTCGAGGGCAACAAGTTGCCCCAAGGGGGGTGGAGAGGGGCGCGGCACCCCCGCCCTGGAGCCCCAAGGCATCATCACCCTGCTTCCAGAATTCAGTCCGTCGTGGCTGCAGGACCCGACGGCCCCTAGGTTCATTCTGGGCACCAAGCAGTCGCCTGCAGCAGCACTTGCTCCTTCCCCAGCTGCTGACGCTGGGATAGAAGACGGTAGCGTCGGGCGAGACAGTTGCACCAGTGCAGCAGCATCGGCGTTGCCGCTGCTGCAGCTCGTCGCGCATTCCCCCTTCCCAGCAGAACCTGCAGCAGCAGGGGCCCCCATGAAGCCGAAAGAGGGGCCCCCTGCGCAGCTAGATGCAGCATGGGGGCCCCATCGAAGGCTCTCGTCTACTGGCCACGGCGGGCGGCTTCGCACTTCCCCCCGGACCCCTTCACCTGCTGTCGCCGCTTCTGCTCCTTGCCAGCCTGCATGCAAATGCAAACATGCATATGCAACAGTCTGGATGTGCTGAGGATAACACATAAAGGAGAACCAGAGACGCGAGCGTGTAAGAGAAACGCAAAAGCAACTCTGCTTCGAGTCTGCATCAATGTACGCGTGTTTCCATGCAGCATCCGCCTCCCAGCCTACGCAACAACAAGCAGTATCAGTATCACTGAAGGGGGCAGATGCTGGCAGCATCTCTCACCCGGAGGGACAATAGGGCCACCGAAAGGGCCGTCAGCGCCCCTAAACCCAGCAGCAGCTGTGGTTGTTGTTGTGCCTCCTGCTGCGGCTCCCGCCACTCCATGTTCGCGCAACGCGCTGCAGCAGCCAGCAGCAAAACCTGCCGGTGATGTGGGAATGCCTGTAGGACGGGTCAGCTGTTGCTGCTGCTGCAAAAGTGTTGGCAGCTGTTGCCGTTGGAGTGACAGTTGTTGGGGTGCCTCCACAGCAACATCTTGCTGCGGCTGCTGCTGCAGCGATAACTGCTGCGGGTGGTGCAGCCTCATCTCAGGCTGCTGCTGTAGTGGCATCTGCCGGTGCTGCTGCAGCGCAATGGGTTGCTGGTGTGGCTGCTGTTGAAGGGCCACAGGCTGCTGCTGCTGCTGTTGCTGCTGCAGTGGAATTGGTGGATGCTGAGGCTGCTGCGGCATTGGCAGGTGCTGATGCTGCACTGGCATCTGTTGTTGGTGGTGTTGAGGCTGCAAAGGCATCTGTTGGGTTTGCTGATATTGCGGCTGCTCTTGCTGCCTCTGGCGCAGTGCCTCCAGCTGCATGCGTGCCTCAACAAAACACTGGGGGTTCCTGGCCCTCAGCTCCTGCGGCGAGTCCGAAAGAAAGGGAAGCAGCAGCGTCACGTACTTGGCTAGCTGTTCCGAAGGGCCGTTCCTTATGGCTTGTAGATGATATGCCTGCTCCCCTACTGCCGAAGTAGATGATGATGGAGCTGCTGCTGCTCCTGTAGGTGCTGCTGCTGAAGCGGCACTGCCACAGAATGCCTCCTTCTTACACAGCAAGCTCCACGTTCCCTCTGTGTTGCTGTCGTCACCCGATGGTGCAGCAGCAGCAGCAGCCGCTGCCGTTGATGGTCTTTGTGCGCGAGGTGCTTGGGTGTCCTCGGGTGACTGTCCCTTTGAAAGGGCTAGGGGAGCCTGTGACGGCTCCCCCCCGCACCTGTTCGTGCTGCTTGCAGATGCAGCAATGTTGTTGGTGTTGTTAGTGCTGCTGCAGAAAGCTGACTCCTCATCCTCCTCTAGGCCCCCGCTGGTAGTGGCTGTGCTACTGGTGCCAATGGGACTGTTGCCCCCTTCATGGTCTTTGCGGCACAGAGGAAGGTGCTGGAGCTGCGAGCAGCACCCTCCAGATGGCCGCCAGGGGCGCGCCACCTCCCTATACACCTCAGAGACCACTGTAACGAGGTAACGCCGGAGCGCTGCAGTAATCATGTTAACCGCTTCAGGCCGCAAGCACACAGAAAGACTGCCCCCGGGTTGTTGTAACAGCTGATTCTGCAATACCGGCTGCTGTACCAAGGGTTGTTGCTGTACCAAGTGCTGCTGCAAAAGCACACTGTGCTGAGGCGGCTGCTGAGACATGAGGGGGCCCTGCGGCGAAGAGCGGGGATGCTGGACCACTTGACCTGCAGGGCCCAAGGAGGCCCCCATAAGAAGTGACGGGTAACAAGGAATGGGAGGTTGCTGTAGAGGCTTTCCCACACATGGGACATGACAGGATGGATATGAAGCGACAGGGGCACACGGGGATGGGCAACTCGCTTGCATAGGGCCCCGGCTGCACGGGGCCCCTCCAGAAACCCACACAGCAGGGGACGGTCCCCCTGTTGCTGCAGCTCCATCAACAGCAGCAGGTGCAACTGTGGACGCCAGCCGAGACCCTTCGACACCCAAGCAGGGGGGTCCTCCTGCTCCTACTGGCAGCTGCATGGGACCCGTCAGCGGCCCCGCAGCAGGCTGTATGGGAGAGCCCCCTCCCCCCCTGCAGGCAGAAGTGCCTACAGTCAACCCCCCCGCTGCCTGGTCAGGAGCATATGGCCAACAGTTGCATGGCTGCTGCTGCTGCAGAGGCAGTGGAGGTGTTAGGGGAGTCACGGAGGGTGCAAGACCGACTGAACTGTCGGCTTCACCCAAAAAGGACGGCGCCCCAGGGTGCTTAGAGGAGACCTCACCAGAAGCCAGCAACATGTGAAACGGGCACTGCAGCTGTTGCTATGGCCAGGTCGTTGGTGCTGCAGATAAGGGGGCGGAAAGGGCCCCTGGTGGTGCAGGATCATAGGCCTAGGTGGGAGTCCAACCCTCCCACCTTGTAGGCCTTAATGACCCCACCCTTGCTTCCCTCCGCAATACAATACAGAGACTTATCCTTAGAAGGCAGTAACCGTTGCTGTTGCTGCTGCTAGTTCGCCTGCAGCTAGACACGGACAGAGGCTTGCTCTAGAATCGCAGGGGCGCGCCGCGCCCTACGTGGTTCCTTCAGCTGGACTACAGAGCAAACAATCATCTGAGAGATAACTGCAAATAGATTCACCCCCAAAAGGAGAGACAGCGGGACTCCCCCGACAGAGATGGGCCCACACTGTTCCGTGATGCTGCAGTGCCTGCCTCTGTGGTGCCCCAGAAGCGGCAGACGAGGCCCCCGGGTACTGCAAAGCCCTCCGAAATGCTCAAGAAAAATCGAAAAAATGCTTGTGAAGCCGAAGTAACAACGAGGGATGGAGACGGAGGGATACCCTAGCCAATAAAGCCAACTAGGGGCACTAGGCCCCCGAGCTGGATCCCCTACAGAAGCCAGTGATGTGCTCCTGCTTGTTCACGCTGCAAGGAACAGGAGGCGCGGAACAGTGTCGTGAATCAACACATAAGGAGCCCACATAGCTCATGTTTCATTGTTACAGCAAACATCAACAACGCAAGCAACTGCTGCCTCCTCGGCCAGCCCGAGCAAGCCCCAGGTCTGCGCCAAGTGGCCTCACCATCCCCTGTGGCTCCCTGCTAATTAGAGAATCGCCGTAAAGCAAGGGCTTACAAAGCATTCTAAACATTCCGATATGCATCTAGTACTGGTTTTTCCTGATGAAACAGTCATAACAAGCCCCTTCTTCCAACACTCCGTTAGGCTACCCCCACCGGCCACACAACCGCCAATCGAATCCCTGCAGCAAGGCTTTCACCAATTACCCTTAGGAAAGCTTACCAATTGCTCGAAAAACTGACGAAGACGGAGCACAAAGTCCACAGGTGCACATTTCGCAGTAGTCATTCTTTGGTAGATGTTCAGTTGCTGAATTGGTTACAAGAGTCCCCAGTCGTTGCCACCCGGTGAGCAGCTACGATGTGAAGCAGCTACACGTCATGCCTTCCGTCCACGTATCCTGGGAGTTGTTTTAGAGAGCAGGCATGTGTCGAGCGTCGTCAAGGGTAGATCAGGACCGTCGTGAGCAACAATGAAGCCAAAATAGTCGCTACCAGTGGAGACCCTCTAACCTTGCTTCCAGTACTCAAGCGATCTGGTCACACGAGTCAAATGGGCTGAATTTCCTTATACAAGGAGGCGACATCCCACCAGTTGAAGCGGTGCCTGCCTGTTTCAACTCCTACTTGCGACGCATCCCCACGTGAGATTATACCACTAGCCCCGCCCCCCACCTCCGTTTTAAATTTGTTTACACTATAGAAGACTGTGGAGCACGTGATTCGCCGCGAGTATTAGGATTGCCCACGTCTAGAAATACATGCGACAACTTCAGATCAGCCAAGGTATATTCGCCCCACACTAAAACAGCGTACTCCCTCTTCTGCCTGGGTGCCCAAAATTGCGTACCAGGAGAGGCAATTTAAGCAAGAGCTGCATGGACTACCAAACCAGGAAGAAAACGGTAAACGGTAAAGGTAAAAGCGAGTCGGATCTGGGGATGCTGCTACTTTGAGCTGTTGCTGTAACCGACAAGTCACCGACTGCGTGGCTCAGTCGCTTGGGCAGTACGCAGATAGAGGCGAGTATATTGCAGCAAGAAGAAAATACGTGTCGAACAACTTCATATACGTGGGGGCGCGACTGTCCGGAAAGGGTTATGCAGGGCGCAACTTCACTCTGAGTTCTGCACGGTGTACCCACGCTTGTAGCCGCCACCTTTACTGAGACACCAAATGCACTGGTGTTCGCAGAACGTCAGCACAAAAAATCGTCAAACCTCCACTTGGCTGCTCCGCATTTGGATACGTAACATAATATCCAAGTATTTTGAAGCATGTGTGCTTCTTGGTGTGTGCGGTCAGGATCTCATTCCCTGTCAGTTGCTTTCTCTTTCAGCGACTCTACTGCAATATTGCGTAGAGAACTTGGGACGACTTCCGTGGTTCGCTGAAGCATTTTATAAGAGTAGCCTAACTAAGGGCATGGTGGCCGTTCCGCTTTACGGACACGTGCACGACCCACGGCAAACCAGTGGGACGTGGGTTTTGATATAGAGCATATAAGCCAAAAACACTTCGACACGGGAAGTGGACACGGGAGGTGCAATGTCTTCATAAGACACCTGTACCCAAGAAGAAAACATCAGACCACTTAGGTGGCACGTGCTGCTAAAGAGATGTACGTATTATGCAGGGTTACGGATGGTTCATTCAGACTGGCCCTTAGCCCGTAGGTTGTTCCTGGTAGTCATATGCTGCTCAGTATTGAGCAACATCATTATTTGGGTGAGTCTACGATTTTGTGGGGTCCCAAAAGCAAACATCTTGGATACAGGCGTGCTGAGTCCGTCGTTGGATATTTAGATCGACACGAACAGCAGCGAATTTAGGATCTAGCGACTATGAAAAGCATTGTAAAGAAAGATGTCAAATATGCGCATCTGTGGTATAAACTACTGCAGACACGTAAGTACTATCCAGGATTGTATACTCCGAACCATATCGCGCAGAGGTTTGTAGCACGGACAACCAGCTGCTGCCCTTCTAGCGTGAAATGGTTGGAATGAGTAGGCCTTTTCCGAACGTTGGGCTTGTTTACTGCTGACCACCACTGGAAACGGCGTCGGATGTTGCATGAAGCACCTGGCGGCTACTACGTCCGTCTGTGATCAAAAAGGTCCTGTTTCCTTGCACCAACCTATTACAAACCCAGAAATTCCAGCAATGCAAAGGGAAACGCGTGACAGTACACCGTGGAGACGAACGCGTTCTGAAACGGCGTTATGGTGAACATGGGACGCGGCCCTTTCAAAATAACGCGTACACATTTGGTTTGTCGTTTGCGCTTAGTCACAAAGCCATCAATAGCAAAGCACCTAAACGAGAGAAAACACATTCGTGGGTTCACGAATCGCTGTTCGCCGTTCCATTGCACCTGCAGCTCGTTTTGCAGGCGCAGCAATTGATCCTCTACAGTGTGGGTAAACACGAGCATGCCGCATATGTATGAACCTTCTGAACCTTCATCGTGGCTCTAACTACAGCACATGGCCAGTTGCCGCATGTTTAGCATGCACATTCACGAAGTCAAAGTGCACATAGTTGTACTTATGTTTGCGATAGTGGGTATTATATGCGACCTTGCTGTAGCTTGTCACCTAAAAAGCTGGTAAAAGTATTTTTACTTCTGCAAAGGCTGACTTTAACATTGCACATAATTGTTAGACGGTTGCCGGACCCTTGAAAGTCAGCCTACACTTATGTGCAATGTTAAAGTAGGAAACCACGAGCCACGGACGGATGGCAGGGGAGACTAGCAGAAAGAGTTGCAGCAAGATGTCTTGCAACTCAAGGCAGGGCGCCCCTTGTCCGCAACACTTGCGAACCCCCGTTGCCACTGTTCCCATCGAACGTGAAAACCAGGGACGACGCCGTCTGCTTTTGTGTACAATTCGTGTCTTTCAGCTGTGATAGATGTGCAGTTCACGACTGTCCTCCACTAAGAACAGAGGTACTCGTTAGGCTTATACATAGTGTTCGGAGGTGCTGGAATCCGACCAAACCCTTCACCGAAGTCAGACTGTGATATAAACTGATAAATCCTGCAAACATCAGAGCAGCTAGTAGCGACGGGCATGAAAATCCTTGCTTCACTGTGGTTCCATTGGGGAGGATTCCGACGATGCCGATATGCCCCCTTCGTTCATTGTCTTCGTCAACACCACGCTGTTTCTAATGGCGAAATTTGCCACTTAATATTTCTCCCTTCTGCACCTCTATTTCCTAGGTAAAATGTTAAGGGAGCCAGCATCTCAGTGTCACACGGAGAAGTGTCGAAAGTAGCAGTTACGTTCCAGGGTAATGTGAAATTTATCTGCTATACCACCAATTTCCCCCGAAGATGGGGTGCTTTGCATGTTCTGCCTGCCACCGGCAAACGTTGGTCACACAGGCTGCGCCAATAAACAAGGCAATTGGGTATAGATCTGCTTCGTAGCATGGGGTGCCTTACTCACTTCCAAAACCATTGCTGCACCATTCGCCATGAGCGAGCGACAGGGATTCCTGGTCGCCCCCTTGTAACATTGCTGAAACGCCGGCTTCCTCAAGTTTTTATCCTTGCGTTTACAACTTTGAAATATGAGAGCTAGACAGAGCAGAGCACCTCTGTGCTTACTCCTTGGCCTTCATGCGTCAAGTTGCCATTTTTCCAGCACTTATATCGGGGCCGCAACAGAGGTGTTTTCCCCATGGAATGGATTGCTCGGGGAATCTTGTGAATGCAATTCGCCGGGAAAATCCTGCCAAAACTTCTGCTAGTTGAACCTGAATTGTTACGACCCTAAGGGCTTTCGTGTGGCGTTGAGCTTTAAATAAGTTTGAATACCGACGGTCTCGTGACTGGCAGTGGATGATAGAGAGCAAGTCCATAATGGAGTGTACAGACACACTAGAACAGCTAATAAATTTGCAGCTTCGGTGGATAGAGTACGTCCCTCTTTGTAGTGGTTGCGGATCCGCTGAGATGCTCGTGGTCTTCCGTAACTATTGTGTAATTGATTCTTGTCGCTTTTTGGCAGCTTAGTGCCCCCAGATACCGACAAGAGACCCCTTAAGTTAGAGAAGGCGGTCGTTTCCTGTCAACGTACTAGAGACGAAAGCGAGAGCCCCTATTTTACAGCAAATGCTTCTCAGGTTGGCAGCATTTGGCATTCAACACTGCATATTCAGAAGGCCGGGGGGAACATATGTGTCACATACCGCAACGCCTA